ACCCACGACCATTTATAAAATTTATAAACCATCTTTTGTTACTAAAAGCCTAAAAAGTTTATACGTTTTCAATTTTTTTTTTTTGAATTTGCTTATTTCATCCACGAGAGGAGTCAGCTGTTATTCTTTGGATTTTAACAGCCACAAATAAATATAAACAAAAATTTGCCTCTTTTTCTACTTGTTAATTCGCCATGAATGATAGCAACGAAAATGATGATGAAAGTCTTACGTGAAGCAAACAAAAATGCTTACAAACATTTGGCTTCGTTGCGAACGACCGCTAACTAAAAGAAAAGTATATAAGAAAGTAAAGCATAGTTTAAAACGATAGGTGGTTAGTTAATCTACAAATCCGCGTTTCCCAATACATGTATATTATTATGAGAAATCAAATTGCAAAAAATGGTGCTGAAGACTGGTGGAGGGAGGATTAACAATAAGTAGAATATATAGCGGATTTTACATAAGTTGTCTAAAAATTACAAATAAAACCTACGTTAACGTAGTTCAGTGGTCCGAACTTAACCTGTAATGTCCGCGTATATACGTGTAGGGGGTTTCTGTCGGTCGGCTTTTTCTCTACTCTTTGCAAAAAGAGTGTTGTTACGTATAATAATGGAATCTCGTTAATCAAGATTTCTTTTCATAATTCTCCGTTCACATAGTAGCCTCATTTAAAAAGAGAATAAAGTCCAAAGTCCGTCTATCTAGCATAAGGATGGGTGAGCACTTTTTTTTTTTTTTTGATTATCGGGAGAAGAGAAAATGCGGACGAGATAGAGTCGGCAATTGGGAGTAAAGTGGCAGTCTAATACAGAATCTCGATTAAGTCAAGTGTATTTGAACGGAGAAATTTTTAATTTTTTGCATTATTGAAACAAAAGGTCGTAGACAAGATAGTAGAGTGTTGAGTTGAAGATCTCTAAAAGTAAGTCAAAGGCATAACTACGAAGATTTCATTTAACGACCGGCCGTGTAATTTGCAAAACGGAAAGTTTACAAACATACATAAGAAAAACTACAAAATTTGATTCGCATACGTACATATACGAATGTAGACATAAAACTATAAATACCTTACAGAGACTTTTAAATATTTTTGAATTCTTGGTAATTTTCTGCTAAACTTATACACAAAAGTAATAAGAAGCCATTCTCGATAAAAAGATATGAAAATCAAGAAAACGTCTTTAGTGGTAATTTTAAAAGCAAAAAATCAAAGAAAAAAGGAAGTGAACAATCTCAAATTTATTTCTTTTTTGTTGCGCCTCGAAAGGAATACAAGTGAAGCAATCCAGCAAAGAAAGCGCCATGCGAGGAAGAGAATTAAGAAGAACATCACACCAAGGAAGAGATGTGTTGAGAAGAGGAATTAATTAAACAAAATTAAATGAAAATTTTAAAACAAAAAATGTAGAAATAAAAAATGTATATTAATTAAACAAAAAAATAATGAATAATAAAAAAAAAAAGAAATTTATTTTCATTATGACATTTATGAAGTAGAAGAATAGGAAGTTTCGCAAGAATGAGGTAAGTGAGTGCGTCAGTGTGTGTGGGCGTAACCACGGACGTTGACTTAATGGGCCCACAAATACATAGACACAGACTACCGAAAAGGAGAACAACACCGGCATAACGTAGGACTGTTATGTAGCATCAAGCCATTAGTGATTCCGATAGGTTGAAAATAGCTTTAATATATTTTTGTAAATGTAACTGGGCTAGACAGGCGGCAAAAAGTGTAGCCACAGCTCTATATAACCAAATCACCAAGCTTAAAAAGCGTTGAATAAAAACCAAAAAATCACAATGTGCCCTTCAGTGGCAGTCCTGTGTGTAAGTTTTGCGATCATGAAATTAATTTATGGCAATTAACTGTAGATTGTAACTGTAGATTGCCCGGATTTTTCAATCTAATTATTATGTATACTTTATTAATATATTTAATAATATTCACTTACTACACATAACTTTTAAAATCGTGTGGGCTCTGTTGAAAGAGAAATCATTACTTTCTTTGACGAACTTATAATAATTTGGCGCGGAACGACTGCTTCCTCTCGCTCCTTTCTCACATCAATTACAATACTTTCTCTCCTTTTTTTCGTTTACTATTAATTTGTCCCTGAAAGAACATACATAAGCATCCGTCTTCTTCTTCCATATTCCTCTAGCGAGTAACGCCCGAAAAAAATAATATCTAAACGTTTTAAATTCATACAACGCACAAAATAATAAATTGCATATGTGTTTTTGCTTCCGTTTTCTAGCAGAACTTTGCATATTATCCTCGGGTGCGGTATCTATGGAACGTCCAAATCCGCAAAGAATTAAAACAACATATTTGCAGTGATATACTGTAAAAGTTCTTTATTTGCGGGGTATATGTGCCGCGAAAGTATGAATAGGGAATAGTAATTTATATTGGATTATAGGCGATACGTTCCTAGGTAACAAAACAAAAAAAATATATATATATAAAAATATACTTTATTGTCGTCATTGAGTAATAAGATTGCTTTCATTCTGTTTGTTTACATTCTCAAAAATACCGATCGCGGAAATTTATAGCCGTGAATATAGGAATTGGTCGCATTGTTTTAATCCCCGAATAGCGAAAAGCCGAATGAAGGAAGCGCGAATAAGAAGCTTTTACTGTATACTGTATATTTTATATTGCTTATGATATAAATTTACAAAATAAAAGTAGCAACTCACTCTAAAAGTGAAGACTTCTTCTCCTTTGTTGCTAAAGATTTAACTGTTTGCTTATTAAGCCTTAATACAATTCGCATACATCAGATTTTTCTTTATACTTTTATTGCTAATCCGTTTTTTTTTTTCAGAAAAACGTTATTTGCTTATAATTAAAATTATATTTACTTTGTTGCTTACAATTCCATAGAATTTTTGTTAATCGCCAGCCTAATAATGCGTCGTTATTTCGCGACGGCGATTGGTAAAACAGAAAAAATCATTATTTACCTTCATTAAAACGACTTGAAAATCATTTATTTTCTTTTATTAGCCATGGACATATGTCGTATAATTTATTTTATATGCGGGCAAAAATTACTTTGCTCTTATTCCTTATTTCATTCGTTTAGAGTGATAATTATTCTAATTCTACGTCTCTCTTCAAAATGTCTTGTCCGATTGATAATCAAGTAGACTGGTTGACAAGATCTCTTCTAGATAAATCGAGATAAGAAAACTAAAACTGCATTATATACTGCGTTTTCTATCTAGGAATTAGTTGATTTTTCTTCTTTAAATTATTTTAATATATATTATTATTTTTTGTAGTTCCTTTATACCGTACATTCCTTGTGGTACAAGGTATAATGTCAGAAGGGTTTAAGGTAGACCCAGCTTTTGTCATATCGATCGATACCGAATCATTTCCTGGATTGATCTTAGCTTGATTTCTATAGTCGCGGACAATAGTATATAAAAAAAAAGTCATATTGACAGGAGCTTGTATATCCGCCTCCATAAAACTTATGATCTTATACTGTCCTCAAAAACTGCTGATTCTTATTATTAATAAAAGTATTTAAATATATAGTGTATAGTGTTTTGGAAATACGCGAACTAAACTTATTTAATTTTTCAAGTTAGCCTAAAATTAGACCGTCATAATTTTTAAACAAAGCCCTCGCTAAATTCCCTGTTGAAAGGCAAAGCACAGAGTCGCTTATAATAAATAAAAAAAATTGCCAAAAATGCTCTGAAATGGTTGAGTGCCCAACTAACAACTTAAATTGCCAGATCGTTTAATTTGCAAAGCCGCCAACTTTATGTCCCAGGAAATCTGTTAAAAGAGCTTTATGACTCAGGAAATCTGTTAAAATCATAATGTATTCTAAAAAATAAATTATGATTATAAACTTTTATATTTTACAAAGAAAAATGATATTACTAAATATAATAAGTATCAATGTAAAATTTAAAGAACAATAAACAACTTCTCATTACTCCGTACCATACCGTACTTCAGTGTCAACTATTCACAAATTCGTTCTTCACAGCGATCACAAGCACTCCGTAGCGAAACGGTCAAGAGCTTTTTTTTGCAATTTTTTCTTGTACTATTATTATTATGATTATTTTATTTAATACGATGTATTTAAGCGTTAGTTTACCAAAAACACCTATTCTCTATTGAGAAAAATGAGAAATTCTACAATAAGACGAAGTAAGAACTATAACAAAATAATCGATTAAGAGATAGAGAGATAAAAACTGCGGCTCGGGTTGCCATAAGCGTAGCGCGACTACTTCTAGCATGCGCGTTTAAGCTTAATGACGCGTTGTTATTGTTTTCGGGATGGGACCTCACCCGTTTAAAACAAAATAAAATAAAGACAATTTATTTTAAATTTAGAAATTATTTATACAATATACGTATATGCAATACTAATTAAAATTTTTTTTTTATGTTATATGATTTAATATTTTAGTTCATACTCCATATTATTTTATACAGAATGAAATATGAGCAGAAAATTCCATTTATTTCCAATTTAAGTATATTTATCAAATCAAAATATTTTAATAATTCTTTTGCTTTATTTTACTGTCTCAGCGAAGTCTGCCGCTATCTCCTTCTTTTAAAGTCATTTTCTTTTTTTTTTATTCCATTAATGGATCAAAAATTTAATTTGCAATTACATCACAGGCAAAGTCTAATAAAAAGCTAAAAGTTAATCTACTTTTAAAACTGTTATAGGTAAAAATTTCTAAATGTGATGCCTAATGTGTTCAACTTAAGTGTTAAAGCCTAATACACAATGGCGATTTTATGGAATTTTTAGTCTTACCTGTGACAGTCCAATCTGAGCGATCCAAGCTATTGAAACTAACACAGAAGAAAAAGCAGAAAAAATATTCAGAATTTCTCTTGATAGATTCCGTATCTTTTGGTTTCTCATAGGAAGGTTCTGAACTGATTTTAATAGATTTTATTCTTATTCATATATTTGCAATATAATAATTATCTTTCTCTTACCTCCCGAATTATACGTTGCTTATTTACATTTATATTAATATTGTTCTTGTTGTTTCTTACGCTATATGTTAAACCAAGTGAATAAAGTGCTTTATGTGTTATGAGCTAGTTAAACAAGCGAAGCAAGAAAATATGTTATCTGTGTGTAGCCTTAGTCACTTTTATTTCAATTTTCTGTATTTGCCTATGGATATGAGCGCGAATATAATCTCTCTTAAAAGTTCATTTCATTTTTTAGTTACTGCTTTGACTGTAGTAAGTGAAGTTTTGTGTCTTAAATTTTAAGCACATTCCAAAATATTACCAACCAATGGTGAAAATCTGTTATTCTATAAATTCATTTTACTTTTATGAATAATGTAAATTCATAACATGCGTCTGGTAAAAGCTAATATAATTTGAATGTAAAAAAGAAAAAAGGACGAGTGCGTAAAAACGAAATTCATTTAATAGGAATTTGTTTTGCCGTAACAGTTTGAGAAGAAAAAGCTTTTCATATACAATAAGCAGCGGTATACTAATTTTCATCTCATCTGTCAGAGTCGACGTAGTCAAGTATTCATGTTTGAAATCATATGATTTTTATCGAGGCGACGACGCTGAATAAATTATTGCAGAGTTCATCTCTCTGCAAAGTTTTTCCGACCGTTGGACTAAATGCTACACTTCAGTGAGGCCGTATGTATATAAAAGAGTTTTGCGATCAAACTCTAAATATTGTTTATTAAAAACTATAAACATGTTTTTTTTTACTTATTAGACTTTAATAAAGGAATGAAGCTTTCAAAAATATGTTGAATATGTGTATACAGCGAAATTTCATTTGTTTTCGTTAAATGTTACTTAAAAGGTTACGAATTGTCGCTGCAACACCTGATGAAGATCAATTTGCAAATAAACAACAATATTCCACTGCCAAATTCATAATATTTCGTTGTTAGTTATAGTTCTCAAGGTTTAGACACAGCACTATGCAGCCTTTAGAATGAATATAAAAAGCTTTTGAAGCTCTTTAAAAACAAACAGTGTTGTTAGCTTAAAGCGCACTGCATCATATCTTTCAAGTATGTTCTTCTAGATACCATTGTTTAAAGGCGTTGTGGGAAAATAACGACTACACAAGTCCTCTCTTAAATTGTTACGATATTTTCAATTGCTCTATACGTGCGTCCGTGTGTGCACATGTAGGTGTGCGTATGCCTATATATGTCTACTTTGAATAATCTTATACGCAAAAGCCATTTTAATACAGCAATCCGAGCTGTGAAGCAGTTTTTATTTTGTAAATATTAGAGTTTTGAATTGATTCCGTTATGTGCGAAACACATATAACGAAATAAACAAAATCATATATTTTGTCATTTATTTGTATGTCATAGCAGCTTGATCGCATTGTTATTGTGTCTAGCCATTACACAATATTAATGCTACCAGAATGCTTGCCCATACACATATAGAATAGCTACAATAGATGCAATAATTAGCTCTAAGTTTATTTTTAAATTAGATAAAGATTTAATTTTTCAAAAAGACACTAAAGCGAAAATTCGAACTTAAAAATCGTTTTCTCGAGGTTTTTTTTTTTCGTTCTACTTATAATGCAAAATTTTTACTTTGCTTTCACATTTCAATGCTAACTTACTGACCAAGATATATTAAGCAGATACAAGAGATAAAATAAATTCGTTAAGAGTTTTTCTAAAATTTCTTCGGCCAGCTCTTCTTTTTTACTTTATGAACGTTTTTGCTACGACGGAGCGATACAAATGAACTCGATTGTTTTCAGCGCTTGAGAGAATTAATTGAACACTTATTGTCTTTCTATATTCAATAATGAACTTCTTTTTGGAATTTTTTGTTTTCAGTTTTAATATGGCATCAAAATTTTATTATTTTGGCTTTGGTAGCAATATGCTGTCCAAACGTATACACATACAAAATCCGGGCGCTGATCGGGTCGGTCCTGGAAAACTGCAGGTAAACTTTTTGGAAAATGTACCAATAAGAAATCAAATCATATCGATTTTACGTCACATTTTGAATATTCGATACTCGAAACTACTCGAAATAAATATATAAAGCCTATATAGTGTTTTAATAACTATGAAAATAGATATACATGTATATACCATAGATCTTAAGTTAGAAAAATTTGAAAAACTGTTATGTCAGTCATCGAAAAATAGAATTAAGATTAATTCATAATACGTAAAAATATATAAATTGAAAGTTTACGTGATATCTTGAATATTCCTTGAATTCACATGCAATTTTGTTCATTGTTCTTGAAAAACTAATCTTCGAGAAAAATCGAAATAGGGAAGTGAGTCGTTGTAGATTTTACAATTTGCAGATAAGTCGAATTTAAACAAGAACAGGGGGAATAGGAATTCGCTTTCTTTTGCAAGTCTAAAAGTTTAAAAATAGATAGGCAACATTAGAAACGTGACTTCACCATCAACGCACATCGATTAAAAAACTTATAAGGAACGGGATCTTTGATACGTATTTCTGGGTTATACAAATATGGCAATATTAAAAAAACGGCAGCGCGAATCTTTCTGCCCACCAGCTTGTCTTAGTTAGCCTCCGTCTGATCAGTCCCGATCATTATCCGGACCACCGGATTTGACAAACTGCTAGTAAATAGGTTTAATTTTTTTTTTTAATTTAAAAAAAAAAAAAACATCTCAATTAGATATCATACGTTGTTCAAAATTATAGATAGGTTTTATTAGATAGCGCGATGCGTAATTTTGGGTTTTACAAGTGGCGCGTGACATCTACGATATTCCTATCTTTGATGGCGGTTGCCAAAATAAGAACTGAGAGGATATATACTAATTTTTATTGAAACTATCAGGTACTCTGCATTTTAAACCGTTTAAAGGATCTATATATTCTCATTTTTGCACCTATATATAGCCGCAGACTACACAAACAAATATTTTAACTTTTCGATCAATGTGAGATTATGTATTAATTCATTCGTCCGCCAATTTGGATATCATTGGATTGCAAGTGTCAAACTTAAATACATCGTTTGTTTAAAACTTTCTCTTTTCTATGCTTTTTTGCTGCTCAACTGGTCAACTTGTAATATTTTCTGAAATGAATGCATTTCTTGTTGCCTTTGCAGGATTACCGTTTAGACTTTTACAACAATTCTGAAAAATGGAATGGAGCCCCGGCGACGATAGTGCCATCAAAAGGCGATCACGTATTCGGTGCCATATGGGAAATTGATTCCTGTCATTTGGAAGATTTGGATAAGTGAGTTATGAAATTAATAAAATACGCTCAGTAATTTCGCTTTCTTGCATATCTAGCCAAGAGTCGGTAGATAGGGGAGTTTATACACCTATTACACTGCCCGTTATGTGCATTACTTTGCAAAAGTATATACAATGTCGAGCTTATCACTTATGCCAACAACCTCAGACGGATATAAAATGTATACCGGAGCAAAAAATCCCTTCAGATCGATTACCTTCAGAGACGTATTTGAAAACATTGGTGAAAGGTGCTTTAGAAACTGGCATACCCGACGAGTATGTAAACTTTCTAAGAGCGATAAAACACAATCGCAATGTAGTGAAAACTTTGGAAACTATTTTAGAATTACAAGACGTTAAATTAGTACATACATCTTAAGGCAAATTAAGAAATTATGCAAATAATTTAAATTTTTTTTTTTTATTTTAAAATTTAAAAGCCAAAAACAAATTGATTCTGCTCATAATTTGTACAATATATTCTCTAATAGTCCGATATGAATTACAAAGAACAATATAGTTGATATATAACTCTTTGGTAATATACTTACAGTAAAATTAAATTAAAATTATTAACAGATGCTTAGAAGCTTGTACATTACGCCCGCTAGTTATGTTATGGAAAGTAGTTAATTGTCAAATATTAGAAATATGAATGGTTTCCGATGTTAGGGATCGAAACTGAAAAGTTCCTCTCTTGCACTTTCATACACACCGAGAATACTTCCATGTGTAGATTGATTTAAAGAAGAAGGCAACAAAGGAGGCAAAGTGGAATTTCAATTAACTTGCCGGTATAGATATATATATAAATATATATATATTTATAAAGTTTATATTCAACGATGTTCCCTTAAATTTTATATTATTCCATTCCATGTACATCATACATACGCATGATAATCAATGATGTCGAAAGCAGATTATTTCTATTGTTACCTTGCCATCTCTTAAACTCTTCAGTTACGAATCACAATCAATCGATCTGTCGCAAATTACAACGGGTTATCTAATTTTTAATTGCGATACTGTAATAGCTGTACAAACAAAACTGTTCGTACTGCTTTTTCAACTGTATTTAAAACATACTTGTTACAAAGTTTAATAATCGTCTTTTACCATTTATTGGGCTGGTTATGGACGCCCTCGCGGTGGAAACTTGCGGGCTTACAGGCGAAATAGATATCGATACATTTTCGCAGATTCTCAACTTCGTCGAAACGTCGACTTGCTAAACATGATTGTATTACCTTGAATAAGCGGTAATCAGAATGGGTCACATCCGCAGAATATCGTGGAGTGCGATACAATTTCCTAGTCATCCCGGTTTGCTTTTGTTGGAGACGTACGGACATACGGCAAAATTTTTTGTTCGAAATCTCGCAAATTACTTCTACTATCTGTTTTGTAGTTTACTGCATTTTGATTCAAAGTCGACTTAATTCTTTTCGTACTTTTAGCTGCATTTTTTTGCACATCAATCCAGTTAAAAATACAGAAAATTGCAGTTTCATAAATGATATCCACCTCCTTATACGTTGATGTAGACTAAACGATAGTTTGTAAGCAACTGAAACTTACACCGTTCAAGCGTCAATATCTAAGGTTTTTTATTAAGTATTGCCTTTTAGCAATTTATCAATTAGGTGGAAATTGCTAAAACTCCAACCATACTCAGTGCATGTTCATCAAGCAACATTTCTTAATTTTTCATTTGTTTTTACACAAACGAAAATTTAGAAAAACCAATTTTTCGGCATCTATTTTTTCTTCACTAGAGTCGTGTCACAGTCGCCATGTGGCGAAGCATAATTAAATTCCGGTTATTAATGTTTTTAGCAATTTGTTTATTTACTTGTTTCCCCTCTCTCTCTTTGCGTCTGAACTGAACTCTGGTCAGTGTCTTGTATTTATCTAATCAGTGTCTTATAAATAAAAATAAAAATTAAGCAAAATAGATAATTTAGATAATTAAAGTTAAAGATTATTATTAATATTTCACTAAAAGAGGTTATCTTAACTAGGTTATAGGCTAGATTAACATTGCCTGCCTAGAAATGTAAATAAATGTAAACTTAGCATAAGTGAGTGATTAATAAGTAAAGATACGATTAACGATAATGCTACACCTCGCCTCACCTCTTACAATGCTAAAACTTTCAATAAAAGAAAATGGATGAATGATCGACCATGACGAAACGGTTCCGGTGTTTCCAATTTAATTTAGAATCCAGTATAATGAGTATTTCGGTTATACATTAAAATCAGCACACCCCGAATCTTCGAACGGTTATAATAAATATATAGTACCATTATAAAAATAGTTTTTGAAATAAAAATCAATTTGGACTTGAATTGAAAACTTTATTTTTTTACTTTTACTTTTATTTTTTTTATTTTTTTTTTATTTTCTGTGTAATTGAAACGCGTAAAATTTATTATGTACATTACAATTACATTATATTTATAATATACATGGACATGTATATATATATATATATATGTATTTATAAAATAATTACTACCCCAAAAGCCATAATTCGAACAAAAAACGATCTCTTCCTAATAAATTGATTTATCAACAGATTTACAGTAATTTTGCAATTAAACTAAACGATTCCAAACGTTAAATTGCAATGAAAAGCCTATTGAAGCCAATACAGGCTTCGTTATTATTGCAAAGTTTTATAAATTGTCGTAAGACATCGTACGTCTATCAATTTAAAACTCAAAAACAGACCCATTATTATCGGGATTGTCAACGAGAAACGAAACGCGTGCAAGAAAACTTCGAAGTCCATTGGTGGCTGAAACGAATGGAAGGGCGGATTTTTCTAAAGGCAACTATTACAAGCTTCAGTGCGTGTCCAAGGGATGCGATAACGTCGCAAATTAAGGCCGCATATTGCGCATTAGCAAAAAATCATCATCCTGACGAGAGCACATGTAGGCACCAAGTATCAATTTCGAAACGTTTCCAAGATATTTTGAATGCCTATTGATGCCTTTTTGATGAAGCCACTCGTCGCCAAAAAAAGAAATGGTTAAGTCTGCACCTCAGTTAACGAAGCAATCATTGCCGAAATCTATTCCAACCACAATGCTCGGTAATTTTTTTCCCATCTGCGAACAAGGAACGTAAGACATAAAGATATAATTTAATCTAACCACATCTTTCATTATTCATACTCACAAAAAATTTCAATAATTGCTGCCGAAAATTTGATTTTTATTCATACATCTATATAATGCACGCTGACAAGAAAACTGAGCTCAAATAATCTTAGTTGATTTTCAAAATGGAAAAAAAAAAAAAATATATATATATATATATATGTTATATTATGACATATACGAAATTAATGCACTAAGATTCAAATATGACAACACACTTACGAAAAATTTTCTCCAATACTGCCAAAAACTTTTCTTGATTGCAAGTAATGAATGAAAGGTTGCTTCTCAAAGAAAAATTTGAAAATTAAATTTTTACTTTACTTGTTATTTTTTTGTAGACTTTCTTGAAAAATTTCCGAGGTTGATCCAAAAATTAGAGTAGGCATTTCTCGAAGCTGTACGTGGCTCAAAGAAGGTAATCGTATTTGAAGTTTTTAAAGCAATGGCCATTGTGTAGTGATAAATTGCAGTGGGCAGCCGAACGCCCTAACTTGGAACTATGCCGCAGATTCAATGCGACCGTTCAGATAATAAACAAAACGGTCACGCATATGTATTTGATTAATTGCGATCTGTGTTGTGGAAAATCGCAAACAGTGCGATATGCATTGTTTTAGATACAAATACAAAGTTGCCGTACAAATACCAGCAGGTATTAAATCAGGTGATATAATGTCGGTCGAGAATCTGAGAATCAAGCAACTACTTAATTATCGCATCCAAGTAAAAGAAAGTGACTATTACGCGCGTGTAGAGTATAATATTTTTACTGACAAGCACATAACCATTTCGAAAGCAATATTAGGTAGCACATTTAAGGTTCGCGGTATCTATGAAATCTTAAACTTGAAACTGGAACGCGATACGGAATTTAAATCAGCAGTTAAAGATATCAAATCAAGGGGTGGCATAGTTGATTACATGCTTACCGTGAAGGTACAGATACCCCGTCAATTAAGCGTTAGGCGAATGCAACTGATTCTGACCTTAACTAAAACACAACAGAAGAAGTGATTTGTTATCATAGGTGTTATTAATTGTTTAGGAAACTGAAAATTATCGTAGTGGTCCCATTTTTTATATATATTTCATTCATTTCAAAGAACTGACCATACATCCTCTATATTCTCCTTAATCGAATACACATATTACTTTGATTACTACTTTCTCATGTACATATATATTTTTCAAATTTGTGTTATTATAAATGATAATTTTGTCGCAGCTTGCCAACTCTTGAATCTACTGTTTTACTGCCACGTATTTCGTTGTTTGTAATAAAAAAATGCATCTTTTTAATAATTCCCGTGTTCAAAATTGTTAAGATTATCGCTATGACCTGAGCGACCAAAAACATTTGCTTCCCAGATAGTCTGCCAGCTTTGAAAGTTCATGGAACTTGAATCTACTGAGGCTTACTATTTTGCACTGACGAAAAAGACTAAGAGAAATAGCTTCGGCGTGTATATACGTTAACTATACATAACGGATGAAAATTTGAATTTAAATTCAGGAGTATATAAGTATATAAGTTTTAAATTTATAGAAAGCCGTTAAGTGGCTGTAGTAAATTGAAGGATTCAAAACCTTAAAACCTACGTCACCCGCCGGCTGGTTATGGACACTTGATTTGAAAATCAGAGATTTTTACAAAAGGTTCTCCGCCACTGTTAAGCAGAATCGTAAAGGGCTAATCTTTTGTGACAACATTATGGCTTATGGATTGTACAGTGATTTCGCATGTTTGCAGAGTTCAAGATCCCTTAAGCTTGCTTGCTAAAGGTTTCGAGGATTTCATATAAAATTTTTCTTATCGGCTGAAAATGTGGCCGTACAGGCAAGAAGAGTAGAAGAGACTAAACTAAATGGCTGGTAATTAACACCGCTAGTGCTCTTATTGATGACATTAAATTATTACATTTCGTTTTCTCTTTTTTCCAAACCTTTCTTAGCCTATCTTGTCATTTCTTTGTCCTCGATATAAGCAAAACCATTATATATTATAAGATGGACCTTTTTGTTGACAATATTTGCGAATCAAAATTATCAAGTAATAGCTATAACATCCGGTACAAACAAACGATATAGAAGACCGTAAGAGAGATAGAGAGTAAAGAACAGATATGAGAACACTTACTGAAGTTTATACAACAAGTATGCGTAAAGCTATACACTATGAACATCGGTAGGCGATAGGATGCGTTTCGAATAGACCTGGGCGTGAGTTTTTTCGCGCTAAAGCACATACCAGTGTGCTGTTGTGCATGCGTTTGGTTAAGAAAATATATGTAAGCGCACAAACGATGCAACTTTTGATTTTTCTGTGCTTGACTGTTTTTGCTTTTGCTATTTTGACGTGAACTATTTCCCTAAACACAAATTGGCGTTCGTTTTGAAGAATCACTATTCTTTTTCTACATATCTGCTTAGTTATTGCCATCAAATTTTTATTATAATTATTCTTCCCGATTTCTACCATTCATATATTTTCTATTATTGTTATTAAAGGCAAAATATTATGATAATTATTTTCAATTTCTAATTGTCATCAACATTTAACTTTATTTGTGGTTCATGCTGAATCTATTTTTGTTTAAATTACATTTTGTGCAAATGCTGGCTAGTTTTTCACATTTATCTAGACTTGTGAAATATACTGTATGTACACTTTTTTCTCATATTTTTTATTTTGAGATTGAAGTATATTTTTATTTCAAATAGTTTTTGTTTCTTAAGAAATATATCTTTGATCCCCGGCGAACAAATCTAGTTTATAATAAGAGTGGCTTTAGTTTTCCGTATCCTATCTAAACATTGGGCTACGGCACATGTATTCAGGAAATACATCTTAAAATGAAATCCAGCAGAAAAGTAACAACGCACGAAAAATGTTTAAAGTTTTCATATAAATCAGTTACATTGTGAATGAATGTTAGTTGAAGTAAATTCAAAAACTGCGACTGTTTTCTGCTTACTGGTGTAAAAAAACGCCGATGAAATGATTGAAAACGATTTGGCAGAAAAAAAATTCAAACGCTAAAGAAATTCCTTGCTCTACAAAGAATCTTCAAAAGGACCTGGGTAAGCCAAATTTTATACGAACATCCTCTATAGTTTGCAGATCTCTACAATGATCTTCAACAAACTAATAGTAGTATTTTGTCAATTTTCCTTTTTTTTTTAAATTTTGAGATTGCGGAAGAGAATTCTACTAAAACCTCTACCCAGAACAAAAAAAAATTTTGCACTAAGATTGCACCTCGATTGTAGTTATAAGATGGCGAAACGATGAGTCGCTTATAGCCAATTTCTGTCTGCACATATGAATTTGTATTGAATAAGTGGAAAGGATTCTGTAATAGCTGGTGTTTAAGAAAATGTCACTCGAAAACCTGTACGAATTTTCTGTAACGCAATTTTTCCAATTTTTTTATGAATAAACGTCCAGATTCATGTCAAATATAATATGAGGAAGTAAATATCACATTTCAAATTGGACTACAGATTCCAATCGTATTAAAGAAAAAAGAGGAAAGGCCATCTCAGAACTGCTTTTGGTTTCTAGTTTTATTCATTGTATATAGTTCAAGTAGATTTGGTTTTCTTAACCTGGGGTAATTTCTGTGAACGCAAAACCGCAGAAGCTCGACGCAAGGCAGCCTGCAAAAGAGAGAAAAAAAAGAGAGGAATTTAGATAAATAGTCCTAAAAACGACTGTCAAAAATTGACATTTAAAATGTATCAGTCGAGAATTTTCAACGCAGGATAATTCAGAGATCTTGGTGTGTAGCTAAAAACTTTCGTATCATCACTGCAACTAATAATCTTCAACTGAAGCGCTTTTTATAAACACTAACCTGTGTTAGATCCTTGCGGTATTTGTTTCCAATTAACAAGTTTCTCAATTTCTTTAATGATCTTCTAGGACCGGCCTTCATAGTAACTTTCACAGTATTTTTAGCTGGACGTTGGGCATACTTTCCCTTTTTCATAACCACCGTAAATCCTTTCTTATCGGCCGCTGGTACAATACCCAAGGTTTTCTTGTGCACGAGACCACTGTATCGGTAACAACTCACATTGGTTAAATTGTTGGGTTCCTATGTAGAATGAAATTGTATAAGTCGCCCTGTTTAGATATATACAACATTCCATATATAGAAGTTGTTCTCAAGCTCAGTAGTATAAATTGTATTTCTATCACGTGGTTGATCAAATATCATTGTGAATTTTACAGAACATCACTGGCATTTATTTGTTTCTATACGATATTTTACAATACTTACTGTGCTGAAAGGCTTCTTTACATCACGTTTCTTCAGCAAGTAGGCGTTGTTATTACGGATTATCAACCAATTTAGATGAGGTGAAGTGGTAGCCATAGCTCAAGTCTGTAACATAAAACAATGCGTTCACTCTTGATCGAAAAGGCTATCGCGTTTTAAAACTGAATTTATTAAATTCATCTTCAGTATAGGGTAGTGAATAATAGTCTTCAAAAACTCTTCCGCTTGCTTAGTTCCTCATTAGAAGAATTTGGGCAATTTAAATTCCACGAAGTCAAACTTAATAAAAGATGTGCTCACCTTTCCTCTGCAACCGATATGGCAAAAAAGAAATAGGAAGCATCATGGCGTCAGCAAGTAAGCGAAAAGTTGAAGTTGGCTGCGTTTGCTGATTTAAGGTTAAAATGAGAAAACGTGCAGAGTTGCTTTTTATTCATTAGGATTTTTATTGATAGAAAAATGTGAAGATTCAAAAACTGCCAAGTCGAACACAATTAAAGGTTGCATACTTTGCAACGTTTCCAGGTCGCAAAGAATTTGCTAGACTCGACGAGATAGACAAACCAAGTGGCTTCTTTTCTAAGTAAACAAACATAATAAAACCGCACGCACTGCATATTCTAATTTTGAAGAAAATAATTAGGGCAATAGGGACTTTTCGATTGTCCCATTAAACTAAACCACACTAACAAACTTAGCAGAACAACTTTTGAACAGTACAGCTTTTCAAAGCGATGAACTTCGGCCACGCTTTGCTTGGGACTGGCAACTCGTATGCTTTTTTATTTAAGCGAACGAACAGAAGCACGTACACCATATTTCAAATCATATTTTGAAATTCTGGAAATTTTTTTCTAGTTTCTAAAATTCGGTTAAATTTCATAACACCATCGGAGGCCACGGTTTGCATTTTTAGTTGTTAAAAAATTTGTGTTTTTCTTTGCTTGTTTTTTTTTTTTTTTTGGTATATTGAAGGGAGATGGACTAAGCCAATAGATTTGTGGCTTATATGTCCATCTTTGCTTGTTTAGATAAAGATTAACACGACTGGACAATCCCCACGAAGCATATTAAAATACTTCTGCTGTCCTGAAAAGCCTGTTAAGCGCACAAAATTTTATTTCGTTTCACCCCAGCTTGTTAGAAAAACTCGAAGTTCTCTTTTGCATAAAATACTTCAATTCTTTACTTTATTTGCAATAATACTTGTGAACATTGAAAGAAACAATAGCTACAAAATGTTAACATGGTATAATTCCACCAGCCGTTGGTGTAAGCTCCTTTGATTAGATATTCTCCCACATCCTGGCCGCTTATAAAAAATACATTCGAAAATGCAGCTGGAATAAAAACTTGTGTCGCTAATGCAGCATTTAAACGCTGCAGGCCATTTGCTTGCAATTTTAGCTTTGAATTGACAAAGTTTTCATAACTTGGGCAAGATATCAAATATTTAAAGACTTTCTCTCCTACCAAACACGCAAAGTTTAAAATGCTCCATATTAAAACGAAAACATGACAACCATGCCAAACAAAGACGAAAGAGAAAGTGGAAGCCGTAGCAAATAGTTTCTGTAATACTGGAGAATGTTTTTCGCATAATTCAGCGTATATGTGAGTGAACAAAAATTCATAGAGACCTTCGTCAAAACATTTCCACATGTCTGAATAGAAATGTATGCGCCCAATGCAACGAGGTTTATTTGGAGGATCAAAACCATCGTAACGAGCAAAGGCTATGCCTAATCCATATGTAACAATATAAAATAAAAAGAAAAACTGGCCCATAAAATATCCAATAGCATGCAAACCAAATACAGTATCCACTGCTTTAACAGCCATTAGATCTCGGGCCATGTAATGCAGATAAAGATAATGGGATGCAGTTTGTAACAGGAACCACCACGATAAGGCACGCAGCAACTCCCAAATAAGTAACTTCCAGTCATTGCGTTCGTTTCTTTTTGGCGTTATTCTATTATAACGTTGATAACCCATGAAAGGGCCATAAATCAAGCAAGGAAAATATAAGGTGTAGCCCAAAAAGTTCTTTAAGGAATATAAGTTCTGCAAATCTTTTCTAGGGCACGATTTGCTTGTTTTAATTCGTTGCAAACTGAAGCTGCAACCACGTAAAACAGTCCATGACAATAATTGTATCAGTGTAAAGTATTCTGTATAATCCAATGTATAGAAATACTCACTACTTTTTATTAAATGTATAGCAGCCATCCACGTTGCTGATAGGAACCATATTAATTTCTTGGATTCATTCTTAGAAGCCGCATAAAATGATGACAGCAATAACATAAATGTGGTTGTTGATGCCAAGTGCATTGTTTTCATTAAAACTAAACCACAAGTCACAGCATGAACCACGGGTTGAAGATGGGCATATCGCCTTCTGATGATTGTACTCAAACAGGCGTGCATAAGATACCAGTACCAGTTAATGCTGATGTATTGCGTGAAGTTTTCCAGTTCATCGTTTGTATCATCTCTATGGCTTTTAAAAATAGGCCAGCCAGTGGAAAATTCAAATTTTGCTACATTTAGAATTCGTTGCCGGCTTCCGATTAAAACACATAAACCATAAATCAGGTATATTAAATATACACCGAAATATAAGAGCACTTCCCCACGATTACCGTGGAACTCCCATTGCATTTTAACTTAAATATTAAACTTTTTCTAAACAAATATTTCGTTTCAATATATTAGAGGATTACAAATAAAGACAGTGAACGATCCTAAATCAACTAAGATAATCTCTTGTTTTTTGTATTCTCAAATTTAAAACCAAGTGAATTGATACCATTAGACAGGTATGTTATCTGGTCTACATGTCAAAGTAATACTTCAAAATTAACTAATGAGTAAAATATTTAATATGCAATTTTAAGTTCACATATATGCAATATGTAGATAACTTTGAATTTATTAACGTTTACATTTCTAATAAACTTTATCGAGAGAAACTAGAAGTGGAAAGAAAAAACTTGTTCACAGTTTGCATCATATTACTCTTCTTTAAAATCGTCTTACGCGAAAAAATTCCTGTGTTGCTAGATGTAAATGAGCCTATTATTCCTCAACGTACAGAAAAGCATATAAAAGTGGGAATAGGAATAGGGGATCAATATTCATTAATCTGCACACTAAACAACGGGCTAATCATCTAAACGCACGATTATCGTCTGATTTATTTTAGAAGAAAGTTGCTTATCGTTAAGAGGCTAAATAGGTATCATCGTCTCCCGCTTTCCAATACTTTCCCTCAAATTTTTTATTACGACTATTATTATAAACTCTTTTTTTTACAAATTTTCCATAAAAATAAATGTTAACAGTTCTTTTATAATATATTATTACTGATTAATTCAAATAAATGATGTCTTCTTCATTATTATATTACATTTTTTCTTCCATTCCCGTTTGCCTACTTTTTGTTCTTTTATGGTCATATATGAAGAAATGAAAAGAAGATCCAGTATACAGAAAATTTTACTATAGATATTAATTAAATTTTTATGTAAATTTATGTGCGAGTTACAAATTTAAAAATTACTTATATTTTTAATATTGTTAAGCTTATAAATTTCTTTTCAGCAGTTCTCTAATTGGTTCAACCAACTGTTTCAATTATGGTGCCTCCATACAAGCATCAACAGCATCATTTTCATAGCTCGCCTGGAGCGCTGGAGAATTCAAATGGTCTCCTCCCACTTTTTAGTGGATGCAAATGTTGTATAGCGCCAAACAAACGTTTGCAATTCTTCCCTGCTTCCTTAGGCTGTAGCAGCTCCTTCGCTCTTCCTATAGAATACGCCAGCGATCTAGAGAAGTGTTCGAAAACTGTAGTTGGATTTTCGAAATACTAGATAATGTAATACTAACCTTTTTACGTCAATGTTACTGTTCTTGCAATTGATTTCGTTGAATTTTTTTTTTTAGGAGATCGCCCGAACTTCGGCATGGTGCCATCAGCCAAGGATCTGGGGGGGCATACATAATTCTGCATAAATCACTTATGTAAGATTGAACACACTTTATTTTTTTTTTTTAATTTTTTGAAAAATTGTATTTATTTTATATTTTTCTTTTGTTTTTCTACAAACGCAACTCTAAAAGAGATTTTTGTGGTGAACTCGCTTGGTTTATACTCAATACTAATGCAAATTTGTTTTCAGCTATTGCTATTTATTTTACTGTTGCCAGACTTGATATAACTGGGATGGAGCATTTAATGACAATTGCCAGTAAGTTTGCAACGATTAGATTTTGTTGGCGATTGTCGCCCACTTCATTGTCGTCTATTTAAATGATTACTACCCACAAACTTGTGTTGAACAATCCTGTCTTTATGAATATAAGCATTTGCACGTGTTAATATAGTGAATCTTCATAGTACAATATTTGGCTTCTTTTTTTTTTAAATTCGTAATCTAAGGAATTTCGCGTTAAGTTTATTTTATTTTAATATGGATGTAGTTAAAGAAATCTTAGAGAAACACCAGAAAGATTTAGAAAAATATAAACCGATAACTGTAGAAAAGCATCTAGAATGCCGTGTCGATGTCGGAATGATGTTGATATCAGATCCAAATGATTTAAATGAACAAGAATTAAAGTAAGAAAATAATAACAAAAGAATTGTAACAAATACTCGATTTTTGGAACTTATTTTACATTACAGAGAAAACCGTGCAACATACCTTTTACAACTTACACGCGATAACACCCAGCTTCTGATAAATGATATTTGGCAGTTACCGACCGAGCGAGTAGATGAATGTATTGTAGCCAAATTACCGCCACCTACTACAATATTGCCTCGTTTACGCAAAGTACCAGGTCCAAAACCGCTTACAAAATGGGAGAAATTCGCCAAGGAAAAGGGTTTAACCAAAAAGAAGAAGGATAAGAAAGTCTACGATGAAGTGTTAGATGTAATATGCTCATTATCAAGTGTTGAAAAACATATTATTAATATTTTTTGTTTTTAAGAAATGGGTGCCAACTTACGGTTTCAAACGTTCGGAATCAGAAAAGCAAAAAGAATGGGTTTTGGAGGTGCCGCAAAATGCAGACCCAATGACTGATATGTTTCAAGAGAAAATTGATTTACGCAACGAAAAAGTGGCTAAAAATGAAATAAAACGTATGAAAAATATTGTAAGAGCTAAAAAAGACCAAGTCCCGCGTAGTGGTTATTTCGGCGCAGAAGTCGCTTCTTCCAGTAACTTCTTAACGGCTGCAACAGTTGCGAAATCATCTACAGCTTCGGTTGGAAAATTCCAAGAAAAATTACGCAACGAAAAGGAGGCGCGTGGTATTGGTGTAAAAGAATTAATACCGGGTGCGAAGCGCAAAGCCTCGCACATTAGTGATCAACCAGAAAGCGAGGCTAATTTAGATTTAATTAAAAGTGTGCTTAACAAAAAACCCAAAGTAGATATTGAGAAAGCTGTTTCTTTGCAAAAGCAAGAGAACCGAATTGAGTAAGTACTTGAAAAGCCGCGTAAAATTGAAGCAATAATTAATTATTTGTTTCTCAGACGTGAAAGCATTGTGAAAGCGGCAGGGGGAAAAACAAAAAGCAAAAAGGGTGGAAAGCGAAAAGGTAATCGTCAGTTTGCTGCCAAAAAACCTAAAGGCGGCCGAGGGCAAAAGGCTGTTGGTAAAAAATCATTTGGACGTAAGAGACGTTAAAATACATTTATCACACTTTGAAGGCACAGTATATTTTATAAAAATTTAACGCCTCATTTTTACTAAGACATTATCGAGGCTAATTTATTAAAGTTTGTATTCATTTCTTATAATTTTTCTTAAATAAGTAAATAGTAAGTAATTTTCTCAACACTTCTGTTAATATACGAAAAGTGTGTACGGATTTCCATATAAATCTTTATTTACTATTTAACTTGATTTGTTTGTTATCAAAACACATATTAAATTCCAGGACACTAATATATTTCCGATTTCCGATATTTTTATTTTCAACTTGTGTTTGTCGTCATAAAGTGCATGTTATGTGGCAAATGGGCTTTGCAGTACATCGAGAGTTTCACTCTCGGTAACCGATTGACTGTTAAATTTTTTACACAGAAAATAGTTAAATGTGAAAATTTTTGACTTAGTTCTGAAAAATATCTCACTCACATATAATTTAAATAGTTTTGTGAAATATCGTTTCGCATTTATTTAATAGATTGTTTGTTTTTTTGAAGAATTCCTTAAATTTAACCACTTGTACCGTGTTCGAATAGGCATAAATTTTTTATAATATATGGAAATATGCATCGAAGAAACATGAATAACGGAATCCAGTTTAAAATGTCTGTCTTCTTGTCCACCATTTGTCCATTTGATGAAATAAAGATTATAACTTAAAGTTTTGTCTACAAGAATGAATTGCCATTTCAATCCTTGCTTCACCTAAAACGCGAAATTAAGCCCAACAACCAATAACTTACGAGTAATACTATTAAAAGATTGCAATAATTATGCAAAACTGGATAAATGCGTTCTTTATTATAAAGTGTCTCTTCTGTGTGAATACAGCATATTGGGCAATCGTAGTAACACTGAAGTTAAGTGAACGATATATGATATGTTTGGACATCTTTACTTAGTTGACAAGTTAGCAAGCAACGAGAAACAAGTCAAATCAAACTTCTATTTATATTAATCGCTCACTAGATATTGCGCCCAAAAAAATAAAAGCCTTATTGAATGTTTTATTACATAAGACGGAAGTTAACATTTTCTTTGTGATTTTTCATATACTCATAGATAAAGATGCGAAATATCTTATTAAAATTTCGTATAGTAGGCCAGTGTAAACTGTCAGCATCATCTTTAGCTGTATGCCAATATTTAGGGAATGGCACGGGTATTAAATGCAATATTGGAACATCTGTATTTTAATAATAAAAATAAAAGTTAATTTGAAATCGATTTTCATTTTCATTAAAATTTAATAGTTTAAGTTACCTTCGTCTAGAAATGGTAGATGATCGTCTTCTATCATATTCTGTATACGACGCGAAAAAAACATATAATTATGACCTTCTAGTTGTCTGCTTTTCATTAGGTTTCTTTCGATATTGCTTAATTCTTCCAATAAAGTGTCTGTATTTTGATAAAAGCTATAGAATTTTTGAGACGCGGTTCCGAGAAGATCTAAAAGAATTAAAACTTCCTAAAAAGAAATTTCAATAAAAGAAGAAAGCGTTCATGGGGAAAATGTATACAAAATGTTCACGAAAAATAACTTACGATACGATCAATGTGTCGCTTAGTAAAATCATCTGGAGATATAGACAATTTGCGAGCTAAATGTTTCGATCCATAGATGGAATCAGCTTTTGACCAAGATAGAAAAGCTTCTTCGCCATCGAAGAAAATTAACTACAATTAATGAATTGTAGAAATTTAATAAAATTTAATTTTACTTACGACTAGTGTGTATTTGATATGAACTGAAGCAAATAAATTGTAATTTTTCAAATATTTTGCATAGTAATCTATGTGGATCCAAGATCCGTGTTATACAAAAATATCGACTAAACACGAAACTTATAATCGGTCGTTCGTTCATGATTTTCACACACAAACAGAGAGAGAGAGAGAGAGAGAGAGAGAGCATATTATTCAAGCTGGGTTTAGTTCTGTTAATTATTCTTTTCTTAATGCCTTTCATTTCAGATCCAAAACATTATTAATGTTTTGTTAATGAAATGCAAAATGTTGGGGATTTTTCATTAGAAATTTAATTAAACGCATTTCCCAAACGCATCCAAAACACGTTGAGAACGATATACCTATCTGAATAAAGTGGTGCAAAAATAACGTATAATTTTTGAAGTACGTTAAGTTGCCGTTTCACTTGGCTTGTTTTTTAAAGGGGCAGGTCTTGATTCAGCTGATCATCAACATGAGCATATAGAGCACTATACTAAAGAGTGTTTAATCGTCTAATTATTTTCGACTTTAGAACAGAAGCATTTACGCCAAAGTCAACTAAGTGATAGTCATCGGATGAAAGATCGCTGTTGCCCGCAATTTCTTCCGTAATAATTTACATTAAATATTCAAAATTGTCTTAAGAATCGCTATGGAACATTTATGTATATTTTCGACAATAGAAACCGTCAGATAAGCAATTCGGACAAACCATAGATTCATCTAACGTTATACTCTTTTTGTTGGTAAAAATTATAAATTTAAAATTTTGTCTTTTATGTTTAAAAAACAAAATGTCGTTTAAATGATTGCTACCTGTTCACAAAAAAAAAAAAAAAAAAAAAAAATTCTCTTCAGATATTATTTTTCTGTATTCAGCGCGCTCAATTTTATATATGTAAGGGCATTGGACAAGAATTCGGAATTTACTGGAATTGAATTGCAATTGCAATTTACTTTACATTCTTCCTCTGTATCCCTTTCAATTGTACATATTTATTCTAGTGACTATTGTCAGGTGTTATACTTACCATTAAGCCAAGATCTTGGCGATTTTTAAAGTCGGTTAAAAGATATGAGTTTAAAGTTTTCGCTGTATTCAATAATGTAGCGCAAGGAACGGCTGAGTCGGTTGCACCAATAAAATTAGGAATATCAGGAAAATATTTACTATCATAGTGGCAGGCTAAAGCTAAAAAGTCCGACGCTTCCGGATTTATAATGCCCAATAGATTAACGAATGTGAGATTACCTAATACGGGAACAATTTGCGAGAACTCATCAGTTTCGACATGAAAACCAAGTTCTTTTAATTCGCTATTGGAAAAAATTGTGAAATTAAATTATCAAGAAGAGATAACTGACGACGAATACAAAAAAAAAAAAAAAAAAAAAAAAAAAAAAGCTTACTTTGCAATAAAATGTCGTACTTCTTTGTGACCAACGCTACCAACAACACGTGGTCGCATTATAGCTGTTAACGTTTCATTAAAGTGTCGATCATCGTCCGACCATAATAAAGGCTATAATTAAATTGATCGAGATACATCAAAATTTTATTTGATTTAATTGTGCATAATAAAAACATTTTAGCACCTGTCGATGTTTTTGTAATTCAATATAACGAAAACAGCAACAACAAATAATTAAAAATATCAATATATAAAATGACATTTTTTTATATGACGAAATGCTCGAGACTTTGCGTTCAATAATATGCATGGATTTGCGAACAAAACAAAACTAAAACTTGTTTCATTTATGCTTATCGTACCTGTCGATGTAATGCTCTGTGATGCTTTTACTCAATCAAAGCTTCCGTACCATACAAACAAAACGTTTATTTGGTTAAAAGCGTTTCTTTGAATATTCAATTTTTATATACACAATACTTGAAACTGTACGCAGTTTTCTTTTTTAATTTTTTTTTTTTTTTTTTAGTATTATTTACTGTGTTAAGTTTGGGTAGAAAGCTGCTTTTAATTGCTTTTTATATCTATCACACGAAGGACGAGGGGTATATTCATTTTGCACAAAGCGTCTAAAACCTCGAGAAGGACGCTTACGAGAGAAGAGCATTAAATTTTAAATCGATTTAAACATGTCTGTCTGTCCTTTGGGTCCTTATGTTTATTGTAAACATTTTCCTGATCGCAAAAATAAAGAAAAAAATTTCACTTTACTTCTAAGGACTTCTGTTAAGCATTAAATTTTTACGTCATCTCAAATCGTCTTAATCTTAATTTGTCTCGCTACCTTGATTTTTTGTTTGTTTGATGTTTGGAAAACGATCTCGAAAAAAAGTTGAAGTATTTAGATCGATTCAATATTTCGTTACCTTTGGTGACAAAACTAAAGCTTTCTCCTCGGAAGCTCGGATTTTTTTTTGTTTTTTTTGTTAAATTGAAGTTGCATAACTTTCATTTAGAGCGTTAAGCGGAGTGTCAAATCTATTTTTTTCAATTTTTTACATTTTGATAAGTTGAGCCTTTAAAACTAATTTACACGTTATTTACACTGTTTATAAGAGCACTGTCGATCATAATATTAGGGATCGGGGACTCGAAAAACATTTAGTTGATGAAAGCTCTTAAAGTGATATAATGGGAGATAAAAGCGATTAATAATAAATTGTTTTTTTTTTTTATTATTTTTTTTTTATCTCCAAATCGCTTTTAGTGAACAAACATGAGATATGTGTTAAGCAGAAATTGAAAGATAAAAAAATTTGACTAAAGCTTAACGTTCGTTGAACGTTTCATTGTCTAAATTTTTCTCACGAATTGTAAACAGTTAAAATTCCTGGATCTCATACCTGAACCGCGTTACACGCAAAACAAAATATTAAGTTTCTCCTGTGATTGCATCATATGATTGGAATAATACCAGCGGTCCCTTTTTTTTTAGCTATATATCTAAATGAGTTATTTTTTTATATATTTTTCCATGAAAAGTTTTTTTTTTTTTTTTTTAATTTATTTTAATTAAATACGTTTTATAACAATTAAAGCTAATATCACAATTGTACATATGAACGGAACCAAACGTATATATACTATTGGTTAAACATGTATTAAGAGGGTTGTACAATCCTAAAAAAAAAAAAAAAAAAAAAAAATAATATAAAAAAAAAAAAAAAAGCAATAACAAATAAAAAATTAATTTGTTCTTAACATATACGTGTCTAGATATAAAGAAACAATAGATGCTAATTATAATTAAAAGGAAAAAAAAAAAAACTTAAATAAAACCAAAAGTAATAGTAAAATTATAATTATGTGTAAAAAGATAAGTAAACGTGAGCCTAAATGTATGTACGTGCTGGAGTTCAAACAGCTGTGTGCATTGGGAACATATAATATTATATTTTAACGGATGTGATTTACTAGAGTAACTAACCTTGAGGCAGCGAGGTCAGACGTTTTTTACAAAAATCATTTATATATATATATATATATATATATGTACATGTACATATGTTTACGCTTAGGCATAATTATTGTAACTACAATTTGGATGAATAACGCGATTTAATTGATCTCTGTAATATGCTTGATCTTAATTCACCCCGGGTCGAAGCTCTTAATGATGCACCATTTTGTGTCGAACGTACAAAATATTGGGGTCTCTGTTCCATATCGTCAACTTCATCTATTTTCTTAGCCAAACAGGGGAAATCCCATATACTTTGACCTCGACCGAATTCTTCACCATCGCCTAATGTCTGAGGCAAGTCGTGATCTAAAGTTTCCGGCAAAAGTAGTGAAAGCAGCCCACCAGCTATACCCAATAAGCCGAGTATGATCAAAGGCAACATCGGTGATATATTTGCCAAGTATACCACAAATGGTGCTATTATTGTCGCGACATAACCCATAATATGTATGAAGGCCACACCTTGGGCTCGAACAACAGTGGGTAAAATTTCAGCTGCATATTGCAAACCGATATTATACGAAATGTTAACAAAGAAACGTCCAACAATTGCCAAGCTAGCCGAGTAGAGACCTAAAGGAACTATAGTAGCTAAAAGACTAAATACACCACTTAAAACCATGCTGCTGCAAGCTAGCCAACGACGTCCAAATTTATCCAAAATCAATGTTAATACTGTATCAGCTGGAAATTCCGTAAAACAAGCGACTGTAAAGGTGAAAAAGATATCCAAACCTAACGAGCCAACGTTACGTACATGACCATCGAATACTAAAGATATTGACATCCAAATAGCGATCAATAGAAGAGTTGTACGTCTTAAACGTGGCGTCTTAAATAAATCCAAAACAGAATAAGAGTCTTGCTTATTATCCTCTTGACGCAATTTTATACAATTATCAGCAAAAATTTGATAGGTTTCTGAGGGTATATGCTTGCCATTCATCTTTTCCAATCTCTTCAGTATAGAAACAGCTTTATCAACTTTACCTTGAGATACAAGCCATCTAAAAAATAAAATATGATCAACAAAAAATAAATAAATGAAAAATTTGAATTGAAAATCGGTTTAAAATTAAAATAAAGAGCCTACCTTGCAGATTCCGGTATCAAGAATGGAGTGAAAATTGCCAAAATCAAAGGTGCCGAAGTAACCAATGCAAACAATTGCCAATTGCCTAAATAATAAGCTATCCAAGGTAGCATACAGGAAGCCAGTGTAAAGAATATAGCTATTGACATATTCGCAACAAAAGTTCTATAATGTGGACCAACATATTCTAAAACTAAAAAATAAAAATGAAAAAAAAATAAAAAAACAAAAATAAATAAGAAATTTTGAAAACTTTAATAATTTTATTAAATCAAAACTCGTATAAACAAAACGATAATTAAAACTGTTTCAAATCCAAAATCGATGTTTTTCTATTAAAGATAGATATATATATATATATATGTATATATACAGTATATCCCGGAAAATCGAAAAATTGAATATTTAAAGTCGACAAAAAAGCGACAAAAAAGAGATTAAATGACATTAAATCGAAGTCTATAGATATTTATGAAGAAAGTCATAGCTTCAACCATCGTTAGTAATTAGTTTGAGTTGCTCACTATAATGCTGTTCATTGCCAACATTACATGTACGACAAATGTTTGCCTTTTTAATAGAAATTTATTTATCAAAAATAATTTTTAAAAATATGAAAGGGATCGAACGAATGCACGTAAAGTTAGTTTTGATATACGATTTTCATTACAAGAGGTGAAAATGTATAAATGACGCATTCGATTCGGCACGGGAATCGTGATTGTATATATATTGTGTTTTGACTGTCTGCAGCAATCGGTACATAAATGACAGGCGACTGCGGTATGAGAATAGATGCCGAGATATATTAAAATTATGCAGAAAATTTACTTTAATTTTGAAATAAATTTTAAACTATAATTAAGTTACTATATTTAAACTGCGTCTATATCGATATAGTTTTCTTCTTTGTGAAAGCATAGCTGTCATGGCGACTCTTATATGGCGACTTTTGGTAATTGCAACCTTTTTTCATATGACGCGTTTATGAACATAAAAATGCATGGACAGACGGACGGACGGACGGACGGACGGAGTTACTTAAGTCGATTTAGAAAATGATGTCGAACCGTTCGACAAGATTCGAAAGGTTAACCCTTTTTTACACTCTTTTTAGATGTTACATACATACGCACAAACTTAATATATCCTATGCCGCAAAGGACATATGGTATAATAAAACACGTAAAAGCCACAGCTCGCAAAACTAAGCTATCGAAAAAGCCTAAAAGTCCCTTTATCCTTCAACCTCCTAATAAGCTATACTTCATAGTAGGAAAAATCCATTCTCCAGCATCGTTACTTCCTTTGTAAGTGTAGTTTAAATTGCACTTGTGAATTTTTGGTATGAACGTCATGTCTTCTTACGCTCGCCGGTGGGAGCAGAACATTTGCAGAACATAGTCGCAGGCACAATCACGCCACGCTCACACAAGTGTTCAAAGCCATTAAACTGATGTTATGATGCGGATTATATTAAAACTTTAAAGGTCAAAAATTTTGAATGAGTTTCTCGTTCAAAATCATGTTTCTTAAGCTCGCCATTTCGCTAGCTTTTTCAATTTTCATCGATTTGGTTTGAATTATTGACGGCAGCTTCAAATCAAGATTATCTACGGATGGCTCTATGGCCGTTTTTCTGTCGATCTTTTTGCGGAAAAAAAAAAAAAAAATTGTAAACGATTGTTCGAACAACAATTTTTCAAAAAGAAAGCTTCTATAGTCACTAGGTTTTGAGTCGTATTTTCCGAAAATTTTTGGTTTGTTTCGTCGTTTTGGCTGGAAAATTTCAAGATTTAGTCGTGTGGTGAGGATGATGAAGAGAAAAAAGAATTGTTTTTCGATTACTATTACACTTCTGGTTTGTCTTTGTATAATGGGCGTACCGCAAAGCTCTGTCTGTTTCTAAAATGAAACAAAATTCTATTTTCCGTTTATCGTCCGAAATGATTTGTCGATCTGGACTAAGTCTTTTGCGCAATCTCCGATTTTGTCAGGAAAGTATTTTTGTCTAACTTGGTCGCTCAGAGTGTGGCTTATTAGAAAAGACGAAATCACTTTTGTAGCATTTTTTCGTTGTTGGAATTTGAACAAAGTACACTGGCGTCAACGAACTCTATCAATAGCGATTCACTTAATACGAACTAACATGAATTATCTTCGTTTTAGCTCGAGCTTGCCAGCTCGGTATGTATACATTCAGCGATACAAAGAGAGAGTTAAATATGCGTCAAATGAATGCGCGCATCCTTGTTAAAACTTTTTGTAACCGGAACGGACAAAACTTTCTGGTAGTCCTCATACTTTAAAGTTTTTAAGTAATTTTGTATGCGAGAATCCAAGTGTTTTGGTGAACACCGTACCAAGGTGCTATTCCCATTATGTATATATAGTAATTTTAAGTTACAGGTATATTAGATTGAAATGATATTTATAGTACTATGAGAATGAAAAGAGCCATTACGAGTTAGCTCGTAGTTGGTGTCATGGAATACATTTACAAGGTTCGACACTTGTGCAAAAAAAAAAAAAAAAAAAAAAAAAAACAAAAATGCAATATATCTCGTAGTTGTGCAGCGTAATGGACTCACTCTGTATTATTGTATATAAAATTATTATTTTGTTGTACTTACCTAGTATGTACATCATGGTAAAGCAATTATCAAATGCGAATCCAACAAAAAATCTCATTAAAGCAAATTGCCAGAAATTTGTAACAAATGCTGTGGTTACACCAGCTGCGAAACCCACCAAATTACAGCCAATTAACGATGGTATGCGTCCGAATTTATCAGCCACCCAACCGAAAAGCAGACCACCGCATATAGCACCCAAAAAGAATATCGACTGAGCATAGGTGGGATAGGCTGCCTTATCACAAACCCAATCACCTTCGGTTGCCACTGTACTATAAGGAATTTCTGATGTATTATAAGACCAGCCATGGCGGCAAGCTATTGTCGGCCAAGATGGATCAGCTACACGTACACCCTTTTCATTTAGTTCAGTATAATTGACATTATACATAAGGCAATTGCTATATTCACCGTTAATGCGAGGTATAGAAAGTGCCAGCCTGTATTTAATTAGAATAATTAAAAGTAAAATTGATGCTTTTTTATATACACATATATATATATATATATATATATTTTATATACAATCATTTAGGCCATTAACATGTCCTTGAAATTAAATTGATTGAAGTGGTTTTCATTTCAACGTAATTAAAAAAAAATAAATAAAATTTTTTCTCATATATTCAAATATGGACATAAACTGTTAAAGCAGAAATACAAATCTAAGCGAATCTAAGCATTTTATGTTCTGCTAAGAACACCAGCCTCATTACTCTTAATTAAGCTAATATGTATCAGAACAAAAAACTATAAAAAAATAATATTAAAAAAAAAAAAAAAAACCCAAGAAAAAATTTATATTCCGTGTATCCGAATGTTGACACCCAGCTTTTGAGAGACAATTGATTAAAAATTAACAAAAAAAAAAACACATTTTTTTTTTGGGGTTTTTTTTTTTTTACTTAATCAAAACCGGAAATGTAAATCGGGTATAAGCTTAAATGCCATTCACACGGGAAGTATTTTCAAATTGCAATTGTATCAACAATGTGTTATGGTTATGTGTGTTCCAACTTTAAAGATAAATTTTTGAATTCTATTTTAATGGGTATCGGAATTTTTTTTTATCCAAAAGATATCCTGATCGTATTCTTTTTCAATTTTGTTGTTGTTTTGAAGAACATACCAAAGACAGAACCAAAGATTAAGTTTACATATTCTATTTAACGGTCGCCGTCGTAATTATATATTCAACTGTTACAAACGGTATATAAATATGCATATAGTAAAGTCTTGTTTATAGTACCGTGGGCCAGTAAATGTAATATGCAAAAAATTGCAAGTTCTTTGTCAAGCTAGCAAAAGCGCAAAATCAAAACACCTTGTTTTTGGGCTGTGCAGACTTGTGTGACGCTTGGCTTGCTGATAGAGTATTTTTTTTATTTTTTCTATTTTTTTTTTCTGTTTTTTTTTCTTGTTCTTTTCCTTCTATTGCAATCGCTTCAACTCTGCAATTAAATAGTCGTGAAATAAGAAAACCAGTAATCAAGCTACCGATCATACTCGTGCGCGAAAAGCCATATATTCAGCCCGTCAGCGACGATTAAAAGAACTATTTACTATATGCACGATTTAATAATAATAATAATAATAATGAAAAAAAAAAAAATAATAATAAAAAATAAATAAATAAAACCAAAAAATGTGGTTAAATCATTTAATATATGCGAGCTTAAGCACTTAAAACAATTGCTGCTTTAATGGGTGTTTCGTTTATTTGTTTGTTTGATTGTTGGATTTATTTTTTTTTTTGTTTTTAAATTCACTTAAACATTATGAACAATAATAAAATGTTTAGATTTCTTTCGGTCTTTTGCGTTACGTCTAGCGCCCAAGAAAAAGGTTACATTAAATTTATCATTTCATACATATGCACAACATTTCGTATGCGCAACAACAATTAGAATAATATGATAAATGTTTAACATTTTTAACATTTACACGTCCGCCCGCATTCGTAAACTAATGTCCGTTAATTAGCATTTTTATTGGACTTTAATGATCAATTGAGTCACGGTTATCTTGAATCCTTATATGTATATATATATATATATATATGTAGATTCACAGTCACATTCGTTACTAAGTTAACCGATAGAGACCATTTACTACCGCCCATCACATACATTTTATGTTAATTTTATTATTTATGTCGATGTTTACCATGTGCCCAAAAAAATACCTATAACTTGTACATATGTATATAAATTGAGATCGAATTGAAAATATGTTTTGTTGTTTATTAACGCAAATCAATAAAAATGGAAAATTTCAAAACAATCCTTGCAATAATAATATCCAACTTATAGGAGATAATCATTTGATAAAAATTTATGGCTGCTCCAACGAGAGATATTTAAAACGTTATTGCAAAAAAGAAAAGAAAACGAAATCGTTTGATCAATTAACATATCATATGAAATCAATCCAACGGCATTGGATTCGAAATGTAGGAAGACTTTGTCATTTAAATTTGCTCGGGGTTCGTCGAAACCATGAATTGGTATTTGTTCAATTTCACATCATTATCTGTGCTTTTTGTGATTCAGAAAGAAAGAAAGAGAGAAAGAGAAAGAGAGGAAGAAAGGGAGAAAAAGAAAGAGAGAAAGAGAGATAGATAGATAGATGTGTAGATAGATAGATAGATAGACAGAGAGAGAGAGAGAGAGAGAGAGATAGATAGATAGATAGATAGATAGACAGAGAGAGAGAAGTTATTTACAGATCTGAAGCAGCTGAATAGCGAGCAGAATGGGCAGAATGATTTGAACTGAATTTCTGATGAAGTGGTCTCGAAGAATCCATGCACCGGTATATCACTGCAGAGTAATGTAATCAAATAAACAAAGCAAAGAAGCATAACTTGTGAAGCCTTTGAAGATTTTCCCATGAAATTTGACAAAGTTTTCAGTTGACATAGTGAGTGAGAATCTTAGAAAACTCAGATTTCTAACAAAGCAAAAATTATTTAAACGGGAACGTCTCACCAGCTTTTCTGTCTTGCATATTTTTTTTTTTTTAGATATTCTAAAAAAATTTATTCAAGTCTTTTACAAGCAACATTGAAAATATTTGCCTAATATTTGAAGTCAAAATAGTCCGTCCTTTTGGGGGTAACACGTCACTTATAAAGTTTTGACATCGTCTACTTTCAAACATGCCGTCTGAAATTAAAAACGCGAAGTACAATTACAGTTTTCCATTCTTGTTATAAGGGACGGCATTGAAGAGAATGCATTCGTTTTGATCATAAAATATATTGAACGGGGATTAGTATGAAAGCAATTGTATATAGCAATCACAGACAGAAAAAAAGTTATACAATATATATATATATATATATATATATATATATTAATAGAAAATTTACTTCTTAGAAATCCAAAACAAAAAAAAAAAAGGAAAGAGATATAGAAAATGAAAA